TATGACTTTCGTTTGTTTATTGTTCATTTCTTTGTTTTCCTTTTAGATCCTACATATTATTGAAATCATATGGTATTTGTCTTTCTCTGAATTATTTCACTTAACATAATAACCTTAACATCTATCCATGTTAAGGATAACATCTATCCAGGTTTTCATTGTGCATAATATGTATGTGAAAGAATTGTATCTCCACTATTTATCCAAAGAGAAATACTCATGGCTATTTTCCTATCTTAGCTATTGTAACTAAAGTGGTAATTAACACAGCTTTTCAAATATTATTTAAATTCCTTCACATAATCCCAGGAGAATTTATGGGCCATGTGGCATTTTAATTTTTAATTGTTTAAGGAGTCTCCATACTGTTTTCCATAGTGAATACGCCAATTTGTATTCTAACCAACAACAAAAGACCAAAACCAAAACCAATTTGTATTCCAGCAAAGGCCTGAAGAGCCTTTTTCTCCATAGCATCAACAACACTTCTTATGTTTTATCTTTTTGATAACTATCACCTTAACAGGTGTAACGTGATATCTCATGATTCTGAGTTGCAGTTTACAAATGACTAGTGAAGGTGGGGAGCCAGGTGGGTTTCTAAGACTTCTGAATTCTAGTAGAAGTAAATGGGCCTTTTTCCATAGAAGGAAGTCTGCAAAGATGGTGCCTCTTTCCTGAATTCCCCCACCATCCCTAGAGGTTTGTGCCTTTGGAAGACAAAGGCTGTGACTTAAATGTGCTATCTTCACAGTGTCTGGTAATATTAATCTGTTAATTATTTGCAATGTCCCAGTCTTATTGAGGCCCAGGAATGTGGGTCTCACTGGTCCCTGGAGCTGGCAATATGGGCCCTCCCCTGCTGGACTACATATATTCTTTGATTTTAGGAGATCAGCTGGAGAGCCTGGAGGCATGCTTTCCAGATTCAGCAGAGCAGCAGGAGAGCACTTTTTGTGCTTTAAGCACTTTTTGTACAAATGCCTGACCATTCATATTTGCAGCCTAAGCTAGGGAGCAGGGAAGTGCTGTGACTACCTGTATTGAATAATCCAGTCTTCAATAATATAGCAAGATAGTGTTGTGACCTTAGTGCAACTGCAAGCCTTAGCATGCTATGTCCACATGTGCCTGCACTAACATGCTAGAGGGAAAGGACAACAATGGCATCTGCCACACCATTGTATCTGCAGAGAGTGCCAGCTGTCCCCTGTACCTCCTGCATCTGCTTTCAGACTAGCAAGAGATTCTGGCCATGTAATTTAGGTAGTTTTCAAACTACTTCTATTGTGCTGGGTTCCAGGCTGACTGAAACTGCATGCAAGCTTTAAAAGAAGAATCTATTTCCCATAGTTCTTTGGGCCATGTGGACATAATTGTATTGGTTTTCTAAGACAGATTTTTTAAAAAAGATTTATTTATGCACACAGGACTGGGCCATGGGGGTCAAACTCACACAGAGACAGCTGTGTCTAGCTTGCAGTGTTGTGCCCTAACCAGCTGCACTACCAGGGAGGGCCCTCTAAGCCAGATGTTTTGAAGCTCATCTCTTTGTTGCAGACAGGGGTGGAACATCCTCTAATGTAGGTAGGATACATATCCTTTGCTTCTCCAGAAGATCCAGACTTATGGGATTCTTCCCCACAGAGGTTCACTACATTAAGTGGATGTTTTGTGTGGTAAACCACATCTTTACCTCTCCTGCCCAGCCTGATGTGTTCCTGTTGTGGATAGTAGTTCATCAAGTTTTTAGAGGGGATTGTTCAATATTTACAGAAGAATTTTTTCTGTGTATGTACTTCGTAAAGCCATGGGAGGAAGTTTAATTCAGAGTATTTCTGCACTCCTCCTCTTATCATATTTAATTCCTCAGACACATTCATATGTATTTTCAAACCAGCATGCCTCGGCTTTGCATAGTCTCTTGTGCTAGAACGTCCTCCCTTGTCATTTCTGCCAATGACACCATTTTTTTCTTAAAGTCCTGCCATACCTTTTGGCATCTAGTTGATTGTTTTAAGTTTCCATTTTGGGATTTATTTAGAACAGAAACTTTTCAATAAAATTATTGTTTAATGCAGCAACCTTTTACTGGAAAGTGCCAGTTAACTAAATATTTTATACTCCGTGAGCTACATATATATGGTCTCTGTTGCTGCAGCTACTGCTGGTTCTTCTTTTTGACAACCCTTTACAAATGTAAAAATATATGTCCTGGATTTGGTCAATTTGTACATCTAGAGAGTCATGCATTCTCACTAAGGAGAAACATAAAAAGAAATATGCCATTAAGAACTCTTTTGCGTGCTTATTAGGAAGAACCAATTTGAACTCTTTATTTTCTGAATCGTATGTATTAACTTTTTACCTCAGAAGGCATTTCATAAGCCTCACTGTCAGGATCCACAGGCATATCTTCCAGAATTCCTTCCTGTGGAACTCCTTCTTCACTCTAATGTTTAAATAGGAAGCACAAAAAGAATATAATAAGGTATCATTTTTCACTTTTTAGAAGCAAACATACCTTGAAAACATATACAATATTGGCTGATATATTGTAAAAATGCACTCAGTATTACTGCTAGCATTCTGAACTGCACAAAGCCTTTTGAAATGCATGGTGGAGGCATGTATTAAACCCCCGAGATGTAAAAATATTTGCCCAAGTAATTCACAATCCAGGAAATAGTCCAAAGCTATTACCCAGAGATATTTTTCATAGGATCAATTATAGTGTAAAAAGTTTGTTCACATAAATATTCAATGGGTGATGAAGAAATAAGAAAATTATCCTTTAACTATTCAACAGATTATTATGTAGACATGTATTACCATGACATAAAACAAAATGGGCGACTGTGATAGAATATTTAGCAAGATAAAAAGTGCTACAAATATTGTGACATAACATGTTCACAATTCAGATAAGGTAAAAAAATAAGAAAACACAATAAAATACTGAAAGTATCTAACTTTTAATAAAAGTGTATGTGTTAACTTTTACTTTTTGTAAGTGTTTAGCTAATATAACTATTCATATGTAACTATTTTATAATTTTAAAATAGTAGCAAAGAAAATTTATTTGCTAAAACTTCGACTGGTGACTTATATATATTTGGTCATACTATATTCCAGGTATCTCTCCATAGAAATAGCAAAATATATTGTCTCATATGTAAAAGAACATTTTATATCGTATCTGAGTTTCATTCAGATAAGTTGTTACTTGGATGAAACGGAAATGTATCCCGACACACACACTGGAGACAAACACTCACTGCATTAGAAAGAAGGGACTGAATAGATCAGTGAAATCAATGTGACTGAAGGAGGTGGGCAGTCAGTGACACCTGGATGCAGGAGTCTAGGGAGACATGATGACAGTTTTGCCAGTCAGTGAGAGACCTCAGGTGGGGAGAACAAACAAGAAGGCCACATCACAGCAGAAGAACTGAGACATATACCCATGTGGACTGGGACTCTATCAAGGGGGTAATAGCATAGGCTGCACTCTCCTTTCCTTTGCTATATGCACTGATGCCATGAAGTACAAAACAATGAATAGATTGCTGATTCTCCGATCTGGAAGCCCAGAGTAAAGGGTTAGTAGCAGTCAGTTACCCATCAGAATTATTACCCATTCTCAATCCTCCTGGAACAATAGCAATCCCTGTAACATCTTCCAGTGGCACCCATGGCATCCAACAGTAACAAAAGTAAAAACATAATAAAAATGAAGCCGTTGTCATAGTTGCTGGAAAAGCA